AACAAAACAAAACAAAACGAGTTTACAAAACAAACTATTGTTTGGTGAAATTGTGGTTTGTGATAAAAAAGAAAAGATAATGACACAACTGATATCCAGTATTTTCCATAATAATAATAACATAGCATAATAGTAATACTATTATTACTCTCAAGTGTGACTAATTTGATACATAAAAATAGCTTTTCTCATCTCTGGAATATATTTGTCTTTCTAAAACACCCCTTTTATTTAAGATTTCTAATTCTGAGTGATGAACATGTGAGGCAGAGTTTGACAGCTAAGAGGACTGCTTGACAGTGAAGATTGCATAATTCTTGCAGAGCAGTGGGTATGACAGAGAAGGTTATTTTGCAGCTAGAGTCCCCAGTCCATGTTTGTGCAGTGCATAGGGTACTGAACCCTTCTGGCTTAAGGTTTGTTACTGCTGTCAAAATGCAGATATGAGGTAATTAATCTACATGAGCCCCTGGAACAACAGCCTCAAGGCCCCCATTGCACAGGGGCACTGTAGAAGCAGGCAGTGACACCATCACCAAAAGTGATGGGCTCAGGGGTTCATCATTAACAGTTGGAACTCTCAGTGTGCCTCTGTTTGGGTCTCCCAGAGCAGGTCCAAAAACTCCTGCTTGGTTTCTCTCACTGTGGGAGGTATGAAATGAGAAGGTTAATTCTAGAGAAGAGAAAGGCTCAGCAGGCATGAACTAGTACAGGTCCACTGCTACAAACAGAACTGCACCAGTTTGTACCAGTAGACGAATTCTGTCATTGTCTCGTCCAATTTAGCCATGCCAGGCTGATGTTGCTACAGTGTTGTTGAAATGTCTGATAACAGACAGAAAAAAGTACATATTTTAAAATATATGTGCGTATTTGTAGAAAGTGATGAGGGAGGGCTGGGGGGCGGGGGCGTGGAAAAGAAAGAAGACCTAACAAAACCTCCCAAGCTTCAAACTCCCTTGCCTTATTTGCTTATTTTTACTGACAACGTTTTTCTGATGCCTTTCTTTTTAAAGTGGTGGTAATTGTATCATAGCTGTCACCGTAACAGGTAACTGGTGTGCTGTATGCACTGGGGAAAGTGGTGGGTGACAAAATTGCACTACTGTGAATAACTGTGGACTGGAGGAGAGCACACTGCTGGAGAGCTGCACTGGGTCTGAAAACACCCTACCTCTTCCCCTCCCCTCCAGTCATCTTCTAGTCCTCATGCTATTTTTAGGGTGCTTCAGGATTCTCTCAATTCCTCATCAAAGCTCTGCCTAAAAAACCACTTTCACACCATATCCCTCACAGTATAAAAACAAAAACCCTCCTAAAACCAAGTGTTTACAGGGGCAATTATTTTACTTGGTGCATAATGGTAATTATCAAGGACTTGAACCCACTCAGCACTTTGGATAAGCTGAGCTATGGGTATCAATTTCTTGATACCTTTCTGCAGGAGGTGTCAACTCTTTTCCACTGCACCTTTTAGTTTTATTCAGAGCGGTTATCACATGCTGTGACAGAGTGAAAAATCAATAGAGGCTTTTTTTTCCCCCCTCTCTCCTTGTTTCTCAGTGCAGGTTAAAGTTATCTTTCCCCAAATGCACAACACACTGCTATTGGCTGACTCAGCCATAACTGACTGCTGCAGCTGTCAGAAAGTTTTAAATCCTTTACATTTTAAAGTTCTTTTGAAAGCATTCAGTGTAATTAAAGTTACATTTGTTAGAATTTCATATAACAAATAGCAGCCTGTTTAGTATATTTCATGAGCGCACAATATCACTTCTCCCTCTCTTTTTAGTGTACAAAGTGTTTTATTGAATGGGAGGTAGCAAAAGATTATCTAAAACTAACTTTATCTGCCAGTCTCTCCCTGTATGAGGGCAAAGTTTACTCTTGCAAGGTGTCATGCTGACTCCAGTAATGTTTATTTGCCTGGGCAAAAAGCACCCAGTTCACTAAGGGCGATTAGGACTGGTCTCTGGGTTGCAGCCTCTTTGCAGCTTCTGGAGATTTGAAGGACATGTTACAGGATCAGCAGCTAGACATTTAATTTTTACCCTTTCTTATTTTTTTCCACAGCCATGTTCAAAATAATAGGACTTATTTTCACTTGGTGTATGGAAAAAAACAAAGTACCACCCATGACTTGCCAGTGCTGACCTTTCTCTATCTGCTGCATTACAGAAATGGATTTTGGCTTTATGCACTGCTTTTCTTCTGCTCTTTTTACAAATTGTTAATGAGTGAGTTCAGTGCAATGGCTCTCAAGACAAAAAGGAGGCAGATACTGTGTATTTGATATTGTTTACAGTCACTAGGGTGACGCAAGCTGTTTCACTGAATTGGGTAAAGCTGACTGAAATGCAGCATCCTCTTGTAACAAAACCAGGAATTACTGACCATCATGTTGCTTCCCACTGTGGGCTTCTTTTCCTAGTCCATAGAGGTCACAAATGCAGGAGTACTGTGTGCTCACAGGAGAGATCCTAAGTGAGACCCCCCAGCCCCACAGTCCTTTCACATGGGCAGCCTGTTGTCCAGAGGAAAAGAAGAAGTGAGCATTTTCTGTTTCTTACCCAAAATCATGCTACAAGGAAGGAGCTGCCCTGACTTCTTTATAGCCCTTAGGCAGGGCTGGACTACTCTCTGGGCTTGGACCTGGATCCGGAGGCAAAGACAGTGCATTCTCCACCCCACAGAGGGTCTCTGGCATTGGTCCAGGCACATCCTCCTTCCTTATTGCTTTTTGCTTCCATTATACTGATGGAACATCCTCCCCCTGCCCACAGTGCAGGTACAGGTTGGTCCTCAGCAGTGCCAAGAAGTCCCCACCCTGTAAATACTTTGCTGCTGAAGCTGCCTAGACAGGTCTTCTTGTCAACTGAAAACAGCCATTCCTGTATCCACGATGCCAGATGTTACCAAAGCCTTGGAAGCCCCTCTTGCTTAGCTAGGTCTCCTCTGCACCAAACCCCCTTCTATGACACCTGTGATCACATCCATCACTACCCTAAGTCCTTCAGAACAGTGTCCTGTTAAGCATTTCTCTTTGGTCCATGAACTTTGGTCCAGATTCAGTAATGCCAGCTTACAATGCCAGCAAAGCCAGCATTTCTCTCGCTGGGACAGCTGCAGCATGTTGCATCAGTGCCCTTTCCAGTGCCTCATTCTGCAGTGGAGGGGTCCCTACTAAATTCTACAGAGTGGTTCAAAAGTTTAAAAAAGCAAATATTTCAGTGGAATCCTGTGGGACTTCCCTATACATATAATTTCTGGTGTGCTTGACATGTCTCAGTGTGGCCATCAAACTTGAGGACAGATAACATCATAGAGTGGAATGTGTGGTGGCTTTATTTTTGGTGACCTTATCACTACTGCTTTAAATACACTGAGCAGCACATAAGGATGATGTTCATAAGCAAGGTGCAGCTCTCTGAGTCTGAAACACATTTGCCTCACTAAACATCCTAATTGGGTGTCCTGTAATAAAACCTTGATGGAAAAGGTCACAGAATAACTGCACAGCTCAGAAAATTCACACATTATAATCCCAGCCCTTCAACTTCCCTCTTCCTCATACTGTGCACTGTTAGTTCCCAGACAGGAGCGTGTTTAGCTCTCTGCCTCCTGTTCTCTTCCTGCTGTTCTCAACCAAGAGCAAAACACTCTCCTTCTTGCTTAATTAAACTTGGCTCATGTAATGCTGAGCATGTCACATTTTATCAGAGAGCTCATAGTTATTGACATTAATTTTCATAGAAAGAAACCTTTGAACTAAAATCAATGTATTGCTCGTGTAACAGTCCCTTTGGACCATGGGGTGGGTTGTCTGCAGCCCACACCTCCTTCTAGCTGTGAAAGCTCAGCTGGATGCCGCAGACTCTTGAAGGAGTGGTCAGTGGAAGAGGGTAAAGAAAGAAACCTCTGCAGGAAAGGGACCTGATGGTCCTGGCCAATGTCAATTTGAATATGAGCCATCAATGTGCTCTAGCAGTCAGGAGCATTGAGCATGTCCTGGGGTGCACCAGGCACAGCAGGTGAGGGAAGGTGATTGTCCTGCTGTGCTCTGCACTAGTGCAGCCTCACCTCAAGTTCTGTGTGCAATTTTGGGCATCACAATGTAGGAAGGTATAGGGCTACAAGGATGCTGAAGGGTCTGGAAGTGAAGCCATATGAAGAGCAGCTTGGTCTGTTCAGCCTGGAGGAGACTCATAACTGTCTACAGCTTTCTTACAAAGGAAGCGGAGGGGCAGATACTGGTCTCTGCTCTCAGAAGACCAATGACAGGACCTGAGGGAATGGCATTAAGCTGAGTCAGGGGAGGTTTAGGCTGGATATTAGAAAAAGGTTCTTCACCCAGAGATGGTAAGGCACTGGAACAGGCTCCCCAGGGAAGTGATCACAACACCAAGCCTGACAGAGCTCAAAAAGTGTTTGGACAATGCTCTCAGGCATATGGTGTGATTCTTGGGGCTGTTCTGTGTAGGGCCAGAAGAGGGACTATGATGATCCTTGTGGGTCCCTTCTAGTTCAGCTGTGATGCTATGATCATAAAATACAAGATGAGAAATGTTTCTCTTCCATTATGTGGGCTGCCCATCATCTCAGTTTGTGAGACCACAGTGAAGGTGCTTGACTATTTACTTGGAAAGATGAGGAACTGTAAGAGTGTGAGAGCACAGGTGACAGTGCTCTGCTGCAGGGGTGCCCAGCAGACATGTCAGCTGAGAAGGGCATTTCCCATCTCTCTCAGAATTTGATCCTGAATCTCACCTTATTTATGATGAAGCAGGGGGTTAAATAATGACAGTGTAGTTTTCTCTCCCTCCCCCTTTTTTTTCTTTTTTTCTTTTTTTTTTTTTTTTTTTTTTGAGGAGAAAATAAAAGTATATTTCTATTTGTCAGAAATGTGGATAAAGATACAAAATACAACATAAATGCTACTCTAAATGTCAAAAAAATTATACAGCAACTAAAAAGAGCCAAAGCTTTATTTTAATCTTCTGGTGTTTTTTCTAGCTAGTTTTGTTATTCTTCTAGCTTCTGCAATTTTTAAACATCTGGGATCAGTAGTGCCTTTTTGCCCTAGTCACAGTGCTATGATACTGTTCACCCCCCTCCAATGAACTTTGCTCAGGGATCAGCTCCTGCAAAGACGCTCACATCAGAGGAGAAAGCGAGGCAACCCAGTTCACATGCAGCCTGTCTCTGCTCACACCTCTTGGGGCACCAGGTGAGAAGAGATGTGACAAGAAGCATGACAGAGAAGGAATCTTGACTCCCTCTCTTCTATCCTGCTGCCACAGGAAAAGCCTTGAAGCAGTACCGATGCTGTCTCTTTGCATGGTGCAAAAGTTCCCGCCAGCACCCTCGGAGACAGATCTGCCTGGTTTTCTTCTGGGTTCCTATGGTCAACACCTGACCGAGTAGTACTTTGGGGTACTACGGTCAAGAGCTGACAGATAGTGAATGCATTTCACACCAGGGTCTCACAACACACCTTGGACTATACTGTCAGATGTGGTAAACTGTAGGGATGAATAAATGACAACAGAGTTGAGATCACCCTTAATGCATGTGTTCTTTCTCCTGGCTGCAGAAATTAGAGAAACAGCTGAACAATGACAAGAAATAGTTGGAAACACCCTGAAAATGAGGGAAATCATCTTCAATAGAGGTCTTGTGGCTTCCTGCATGTTCTGGGACAGAAAAAACCATCCCCCATGTTGTGAAACCACTCACTTGGAGAGGAGGGCCAGAATGGTCTGGTCTGAAATGAGAATCTGGTGCTCCTCTCAGAAATGAACAACCTCTTCTCTGCAACACTGTAAACATTAATAGGAACTTCTCAGACATGCCATTCCTTGGGTATTATTGTTTGAAAAGTAGAGCTTGCCCAGGAGGAGAACTGGCCTCAGGACAGGCTGTAAAAGTGAGTCTTCACAATAGGTCATTTTTTGACTCTAAGTCATATAGTGACTAAGCCAAGCAAATTCCCTAGGGTAAACTTTGTTCTGTTTAATTGCACATTTTGGTGCAGCTGTTAGGTGTCAGTGTTCACCACAGCTGCTGGAGCTGATTGCTGGTCCAAATACTGACCAAATCTTGACTGTGCAGTTGGACTTGTTTTATTCTTTTGCAAATAAGTAGAACCTAGCCCAGATCAACAAAAACTAATCCCCTCCCAGAATAATGGGATTCTCTTTGAAGTCATTAAGATTGCAAAGGTTTATTCTATCTCCTTGTGAATTTCCACACCTCTGTAAGTGCTAAGGTTTCCCTCACACCAGGGAGGTCTAGAAATTAATTGCCTTGGCTGGCAAGCAGATAGTCAGATTGCTACCTCATCACCAGCTATCATTTGTCTGTAAGGCTGCAGACTTCCTAGGGGTCTGCATGACTCCTCTGTCTGGATGGACTGTGCACTGCTCCAGCACTTACTGTTACAGGGTTGTGACCTTCTTCCGATTAAAAGACAGTGCAATTCTAATGCCTATAGAGAGACTACATTTATATTCTAATCCATTTAGCCTTGTCTTCTGCTCTCTGCTTGAGAGGAGAATACACTTATAGGTGCACATACAGGTATATGTATGCATTTGGACTTGCTAGGACTCCTGGACCCAAGGTCTGCCCATCCAGTTTTCACCCAATAGGTGATAAAGCAAAAAGTGATCTTGTATTTGGACAATTTGGACTCTTAGTAGACTATAATCTCTCCCTGGATTCAAAAATCTATGATAAATGTGAATTCTCTAGAGCAACCTCAGGCAGCCCATCATGAGTGTGTGTATAAAATCCTGCACACTGTGGGGCAATACTAAAGCCCAACACTTTAATACAAAGAGCACGCCTCTCCTTTGCACTGATTATCAATAAGAACATTTGTTCTTGTTTCCTTTCTTACCTGACTCTAAAAATAAGCCATGGAAACAGCTTCTGTGCCCCATCTTGGCCCCTTTCCATTATGCCTATGGGTTTGTCTGCACCTGGTTATTCACTGAAATAGCAGCTCTGGATAATGATACTGCTTTTATATCTGTATATCTATCTAAAAGCAAGCAACAGAACAAAAAGCATCACATGGCCTTTGCTTCGCTACACAGAGCAGATCAAAAGGAGCCAGTTATCCATACTACTCGCCTAAATATTTTTCCACATTTCCACTCATAATGTGAGTGCCCTCCTGAATGAGAAGCTCTAGACAGAACCAGCTTTCCTAGTACACCAACAGTTCTCATGTCTGGGCAGCAGCAGATAAACTGTAGTGAATACATGAAGTGACATTTTCCTTTTGTGTTCTTTTGAGTTTGCTGGATAGCATTTCAGTACTTTCCCTCTAGTACATCTCATTCTTTTCCTAATCACCTCATTACTATATCCTTCTTATTACAGGCAGGCACGAACTAGCAAGCTGCAAGAAAATATGTCCAGTTTCAAGCTGTCTGCAATCAGCATCTCGAGAGATGATCCAGGTTTCTGGAGACAAATAATTGATCTGTGATTCATCCTTGTGATTTTAATAGGCCAAAATTACACCCACTGATGAAAAACCTCTTAAGAAGTAGGGTGCTTGAGACTGGGATCTATATTTTGCAGTGTGGGTTCTATTTTGACATTTAAAGTATCCTTACACTGGCTTATCTGAGTGAGATAATAAGTCTCTTGGACAAGTAAAATGATAGAGATAATTTGGTTTAACTTTTTACAAGAGGAGTTGCTCATATGTGTTCTCTGTTTCCTTGGATACTAGAGATTTCATGTCACAGTTCAGCCTCACGTACATTTTCTATTCCATTACAGTACCTGGAATATGAATGAAAAATCCCCAGAAATTATTAAGACATGAACAAGACTTCAGGAGTAACCTCAAGCAGGAACATCCTCATCAGGGTCAGGTAGAAGTGGACAGGGAAAGCAGAAAGCTTATCATCTGCATCAGTTTCTTGATGGTGCTCTCTCTTCTTGCATAGGAATATTCTCTTCCCTTCCCATTCTAGGGATGCAGTTGCTTTTGCTTTTGGCATCCACCTGACTAGCTCAAAAGATAATTAATTAGACCATGTGCATAGTTTGGACTGAAGGCCAGTTCAGTGCATTTCAAAACCAATTCTCATCAGCCTTTTCACACTCGTAAGAGTGTGACAATAATCAGAACTTTCACCTTCAAAGCTACACTTAGGTTTACAGGCTGATTCACTAATCTTACTATCCAGGTCACAGACAAATTCAATTTTTTTCTGTTCACTTGGAAATACCTGCCTAGCATTTTTCAGTCATAAATATTTTTCCAGAAAGGGAATAATACTGAATAATTCCAAGGCTGTTGATATCATTAACAGTAAAGCTGGTTTAAACAGTTTCATAAAATTTGACTAGATAACTTTTAATGAGACTTCTTTAGTCTGGATAAAAGGGCAGAGAAGACCTAGAAAAAGCTGGTGGGTTCTTCTAATTTTAGGTGGTGGTTTCTTTGTGTTTGGCAAACCCAGGTGGACCTTTCCCATCAATGTACTGAGTTATTCTGAAAATTCAAACAAACTTTATCATTTACAATATCTTACAGCAAGGAGTGATACAAGCTAATTGTGTATTTTGTGAGAAGCTACCTCCTTGTTCCTATTTGGAATTTGCCTATGTGTATTTCAGTTGCTGTTCCTGAAGTTTTGTGTTGGAAGAGTCCATGACAAATAGCCAACTCCTTTAAGTCATTTAGCAATTTACAGACCATTGAGTTCTGACCCTTTCCACGCTGCAGAGTCTTAAGTTGTTCAAATTTCTATCAGAGGAAAGCTGTTTTCTAGCTTCACAAATCTTGCTTTTTTCTCTGTAACTTCTCCATTCTTTGACTTTTTCTAAGCTATTTCAAACAAAATGCATCATCAAAGATGCAGATATATCATAGCCAAACACACAGTGGCATAATGGCATTCACTGTTTAGTACTTTAGAATTTTGTGAACAACTCACATCTTCCTTCCACTTTTTGAATGTTGCTGAGAACTGATTTGATATTTTTCACTGGATGCACCTCTTCTTCTACAAGACCTTTCCCTTTCCTGTTGCCAAGTAAGAGGAAAGAGTTCCTAATTTAACTGCCTCACTTCAGTCTTTAAATTAATGAAATGAATTATGTCTTTAAACTGTCTGAGAGAAACTGTAAAGAGAATTTTAGCCAGAATATAGTAAACATCATTATTTACTTTCAAATCCCCACAAGGCACTGAATAATTTGTGTTGCCCTGTGAACACTTTTCTTTCTTCCTACTTGTTCAGATCCACAAAGCTTTCTCTCCAACTCTGCATTTCCAGCTTCCTTCAGAGGGAGGGGAATATGTTTGAGCTACACAATGCCAATGCTCTGAAGTGGTCATTGAACCGGGAAAGCAAAATGCCATCACAGGTGACACCAGAGGTTTATCTTACCTCCTTATTCATGGCAGTGAGGCTGGTGCTTGGTGTCACCATTTTTAATGAGACCACACCACTGACACCGTCATGCCCCTTAAGACACCTGAGAATTTCACTAACTCTGGAAGATATTCCGAGAAGCAATCTGGCAGATTCGGAGCCACTTTGCAATGGCAACATCTGCCTAGTGGGAAAAAAAGTCAGCATGAATCAAGTCAGTACAATGAAATGCACTGGCAAACCTTCCTACCTGGATTTCCAGATGTGTTCTTGCCATGATGTAGGAAAGCAGGCTGGGAGGGACCTACCACCCACTAGGGAAGGTCTTTTGTTTCCAAAAGACATCAAGGGATATTAATACCCCATGGCTTGTTGAGTAATAGTATCCTAGAAAATGCATTAGAAATCACTTTTCAACTAGGCATGCAAACTTTATTTTTATTGGATATACCACAGAAGAAGTCCTAACAAGGGTGATGACCCCTACTGCATAAGAAGACTAGAGGCCTGCAGTTGGAGAGGGTTCTTGCATTGTGAAGCTTCTTTAAGGCAGGATCATTAACTCCAATTCCCTCCCAGGAGGATGGTTTGCTTCATGACTAATGCTAAGCACAGTTAAGTGGCACAGCTAGAGTTCTTGGCAAAGCAACATATGGTGTTTTCAAGCGTTATAGATGTTTCATTGCATATGTTTCCCACTCTCTTACCTTGTGACACTCAAGAGCGCCGGTTTTCTCTGTTTATTACTGCTGTGCTCCTTTATACCTTTGTTTTCAAATGTTAATTATTTACAGTACTGACAACAGAAACTCACAATGCAACAATAGATATACATGTAAATGCACCTTTTTGGGGATTTCTTGTAATTAAGACTCCAAACTATGCAAAAGCTTTTTGATGACAGACTCTCTTGCTGCTTTCCCTCATATTGTGGACTCACAAGTTGGGAACTCTTTGTGCAAAGCACCAAGGCCTTGGTTTTATGCCAACTAGAAACTCAATACACGCTTTGACTGCTTGCCTTGTGTTCTTTGGAACAACAGCATTTTCATTTGCACAAATAGCCTTTACATAAATAAGCTTGGTTCAGAGGCAGGCAGGAAGATACATACGCATGGAGAGCATAAAGACGAGCCACACCAAGCGGGTCTTACCAGTTAGTACAGCGTGTTTATTCAGGGAATCACATTTGTCCTCTCTGGAAAAGCCATTGTGGTATTTTCTGTAGAGTCTAATGAGCCAGTCCCAGAACAATCCTTCTGAGTCATCAGTTTCCATTTGCACAAACCTGGTGTTAAATGAAATGATAGGCAGGCAGATAATGATTAATCCAGGGAAGATACAAAACCTATCAGATTACATTAAACAATGGCCAAATTCAGATGGAAAATGCCTCCCCCTCAACTCACAAAAAGGAAGAGAGTAGTGTATTCCTTACTACTAAAGCTCTTTGTCACAGCTTACTTCCTACAAATATACATTGCAATTAATTCAATTAAAAGTAATGAGAAAAATATAGCAGGTTAAAGGTGAAATTGCTTGCCTTGTTTCATCTGAAAATTTCACCTCAAATCAAACTAAATTAGCATGACTGTAGGTCTAAGATCTATGAATTGTACAGGTAAAGAATGTGGATTGCATGCTACCTATATGAGCTAACATATGCATACTGTAGGATGGTGAGACATTGGAACAGGTTGCCCAGAGGAGTTGTGGATGTCCCACCCCTGGGAGTGCTCAAGGCTACATTGGATGGAGCCTGGAGCAACCTGATCTAATGGAAGGTGTCCTGCCCATGGGAGGGAGCTTGAACTAGACAGTCTTTAAGGTCCCTTCCAACCCAAAGCATTCTATAATCCTATAAAAACTTGTTCACATTCATAGGACTGATGGTAGAGTGAAATGGAACATTTTAGAGAACTACTACAGAGTGGCAAAGTGCACTTGCCTGGACTGCTGAGAACAGAGATGACTCACCTCAGAAGCCAGGTGCAAGTCAGGATAGTGATTGTCTTAAGCCCTATATTCCAAATGCTGTGGCATGTAAGGAGCTGGGGTCCTCTCGAACTTCTGTAAGGGATTGGTGGAACATGATCCCAACCCCATAGAAATCCAAGAGGTTTTCAGCCCCTCTTCTGATGAGTTTCAAATCCCTCAGGATAAAATAAAGCAAGCAAACACAATACAGCTAAACTAAAAGAAAAATTTTAAAAATTACATGTTGTAATCAGTCACCAAAGTCACATCTACAAATGGGAGAACAGCTGAAGAGTAAATTATAGCCAACTAAATCAAATGGAACCAAGTGCAGTAAGATAGTGCTATTGCTGGTTCAAAATCAAACTGACATATAACTTTTGACTGGTCAAAAAAAGCCATATGGGCCTATTTCATTCACAGTGCTTTCTTGACAACAACTACTTTTTTCTGAATTTTGAAGTATAGAAAAATTGTAATCTAGAGTGCTTAGTTACTGCAGTATATATTTCTGAAGTTTATTTTTCTTGATTTATATCCAGGTTTACAATTATTTGTGGATTAAAACAAAAAAAAAACATGTATGTCTTAATTTGAGTCTGATATCTGTGTCAAGTCCCCACAGAAGAAATAAAATCTAGATAATATATTTTACTTTAAGGTGATATGAACAAATCCAGTAACTTGCTTGTATTCCCTGATAATTGATCTAAGTTCATTTTCTGTTTGGGAAACATTTTATGTCAACTACTTGTTTCGCTCACTAGATAAGCTTGGTAAACGATGTGATATAATCAAAGCAAGGTAAATTGAGCAATGATGCTTGTGGGTGAACATTCTATCTGATAAACATGTTTTTGTACTGACGCAAAGCTCATTTTCTGCAAAGCTGAGCTTTGTAGCCTAATGGTACTTCATTCTCCCCCCCAACAAGTCACAGGACTTTCTTCTTTCCTGCCTTTTTTATGTGTAAATAATGTTTGCATATGTGGTGCAAACAAATTCAGGAATCAAGTCAAAAGTATCACCAAATGTGCCCTGTTTTGGCTTCAGAGTAGGAAACTTAGAGTAGCAGGTCTGCAAGGAGCATATTGATTAGCTATTCCCATCCTAAACCATAAATGCATCTATGGTTTACTAAATGTCAAGTGATGGAATATTACCCTGTGATAATAATACCATAGTTATAATACTACTACCACATTAATAACAATAATAGTACATAATTATAGTAAATATATAATATATTTATATATATTATATAAAATAATATAAATAACAGATCCTGGAAAAAAAATCAATACAAAACTGTATTCCCTTAAAAAAGAAACTGACACTGACAGAATGCGTAACACATATTTGCACATATACATTCAGCTCATGTGGACTTTGCCTAGCTGGTCTGTTCATTATATAAGCGTCATGACTAACCTTCTCATTAATTGTTCAACCCAAAATCCCATCATTCAACCCCCCCACAAATTCACCTCTAACAAAACCCTCACAACCACAAAAACTACCCCTTGAATCTGATCATGAATTTAAGCTTCTTTGACCAGTTCACAAGCCCATCCCTCTTAGGAATCCCATAATTCTTCTTTCAGTATTATTCCCTACCCTACTACTTCCCACACCTGAAAACGAATGAATTGCCAATCACCTTTCTACCCTGCAACTACAATTCTTCCACCTAATTACAAGAGAACTTATGATCCCTCTAAACAAGGGAGGACACAAATGAGTTTTAATCCTAACATCTCTAATAACACTCCTACTGATAAATGACCTTCTAGGCCTTCTATCATATACATTCACCCCACCACTCAATCACACTGAATGTATGTTTTTTACTGTCAAAGTCAACAACTCTGTGGCGCAAAAGTTACTGCAAGACCCTTCCCATGAGACTCCTAAACTGCCTTTATTTTACCAGATCAGATTGTCAGCCTCCCAGTCTGGCCCAAGCCACTCTCAGTAACTTCCACAGTGTTTTAGAAAAAGTCCCCTTCTGGTCAAAGACATAGGAAAACATGTGTTTTAAACCCTGGATACATTCTTGAGATCTTCTCTTGTGCCAAGTCTTCATGGTTTCCCCATTAGCTGAGGATGTTTCTTTTGTTTGAAAATTAGTTTCTGATTCTGTCTTTTTTTTAATACAAAATAAATATATCTAATGATGAGCCAATTTGCAGCTACCCTGGGCAGGCCTGTGAAATGTTCTTTATGGTACTGTACGCAGAACATGTACAGGTTAGACAGCAGGGCAATACCTACCAGCTTGCTCTCGTGGGCGGGACCTGCGGGGCTCTCAGAGGCAAACTGTGCACTGCCAGACCTCTGTCAGCCACGCAGTCAGAACTTCTGGGCACAGCAAGCAGCCCGCAAACACCTGCAGCTTTACTACCCAGAAATTTCAGAAATGATGACTTCTTTCTACCTCTGTAGAGGTACCTCTTTTCCCTGGCAGACAGTAATTTCACAGTATTTACACTGAAAAAGGTATTAAAGGTATATGGGAAACAAAACGTGTATCTTCTATTTAAAGTTGCAAGATGGTCACCCTTCATTACCAAAGAGACATTTCAGCACAGTCTGGAGCTTTGGCAGCTCTAACAGCTGAGACTGTGTCTATAGCACTGTCAGCTTGGCTGTGTGTCATTTCAAATGTATGTCATGAAAATGCTTTTCTAAAGAGTTGTCAACATTGAGCCCATAGAAATGTTGCAAGACTAAAGTCCTGATGCAGTTAGAGACTTAGCAATTGCAAATTTATTGGCAAGTATTTTCAGATTCATTTTAATATGTCCTCCTATTAAGAAGAGGACAGAACAGTTTGGTTCTTTGCATTTAGGTCCAGGTATCTGAAGGAAAATTTCATCTGTATTGATACCGTCTTCTCTGATTGTAATAAATGGGATATCTACACACTTTCTGTAAGAAAGTGAAATTTTGTAATAGAAAAGTGCCATGCAATTCAGGAAAGAAATTACCATAACTATATACATTTGCATTTGCAAATATCTTTCGTTTCAAGTGGCTTTACAAGTCCTAGCTTTTGGTCAGGCTTAGTCTTTGCATGGGCATGTCTAATGCTCATGAATGTATTTCCAGTCAGGTCCCATGAATTTATCTGCACAGAAGGCGCAAAGTCACAGGCACCTTTAGCAAGCACTGAAAGCAAAATGGCATAAAGGAAAGCCTGCTATGAAAAGGAAGGGATTATATTATTATTGTTATTTGTCAAAGTAATGTTTTTCAAACACTTTCCAGCTATTACTTGTATCCAAGGCTCTGTTGCAGTAAAGCCATAAAAGGACCATCACTGAGCCCAGAGGGTGCTGGATCAGGCCTTCCTGATATATTCTCCCACACCACAACATTTGAGGCACCACTTGAATAGCCCTGGCTCTTTTTTTTTTGTCTCACTGTCATGACATCTGCCCATAAAATCACCAGCTCTCTTTGTGGCAGCAGTCTATTCATTCCTCAGCTAACATTAAACTAGCTCTAACTAATCAGAAAGAAATTAATTACTTTAACACCTCAGGCTGCAGCAGCTGGGTCTTTAAACAGGATTCCTGGCAGATCTGTGCTTGTCTGAGACACATTCTACTACAAATGCACTGCTGTAGGTAGTAGGTCCCTTAACAGCACAGTTTCTAGCTGGGTCTACCAGATCAACTGTGTAGAGGTGAACAGGAGAACACCATTCAAAAAAGGTGCTGATTAAATCAGAATTAGCCTACTACATGTAGAAAATTCTGGGAGACAAGAGTAGTTAAATAGATACCCAAAAGTTAAAATTCTGATATTAGCTGGTCAAGCTGAAGGAGCACATTTCCAGCTTCCTAAGCCAGCAGAAAGACTGAGCTGACATAAATCATTTTATATCTCCTGTGAGCTGCACTCAATTGAAGGAAATAAAAATAATCCATATTAACCTAATGATGTCTTTTATTTGCCAAAAGTAATTTATATTTTACTTAGGGAAGTTGAATTTGGCCTATCTAACATGTCTGGGCTCTGCTGGCAAAGGTAAAATAAATAAATAAATAAATAAATAAATAAATAAATAAATACAGGTAAGAAAAAGCTAACTCTTCAGTTATAGACATCAATAAGCTAAATTTAAAGGATGCCACTCATAGCAGAAGTTATATGATGCAGAGAACAACAACATATTCTGCAACTATCTGTCAGATGCCTGTAAGGGGGTACCTGACAAGCACATGTCCTTAACATGTCTGCAGTCCTTTTGTCAGCTTTAGAAGCTATTTTGGGAGAGCCATGTGTCTCCAGGTGGTCCCTATCCCAAGAGCAGATTCCCACCACAATCCCAACACAGCAGCCCTTCAGCAGCCTCTGGGGACAATTTCCAGATTTGTCCTGGCTGGAGCTTCCAGATGATGGTGGGCACTCTGCTGCAGGGTGGTTATTCCCCTGTGGGCTTTGGCTGTGGTTTTCCAGCAGCCTTTCCCTTTCTTATTTCCCCCTCAGGTAGCCTGTCAGAAGCTCATTGATTACCTCGAAGGGATTTGCCACATGCAAGAGCTGAAGGCAAGTCTTGTCTTCCCTTATGAACTGCCTTGCATGCCTCTCATGTCATTCTTCCGCTGGGAGACTAGATGCTAACTTCTGTGCTAACATTCTTCCTTAAGCTAAGTTTCTGGAAGATATTTAATATATTGACGAAAGGCAAGAAAAATGAAAATGTCATTAAGACTACTGAAAGGGACACCTGGAACAGCAGAATTAATGTTTCTCTTCCTCATTTACATTGTAATAGGTCAGGTGTTACATTCTTACTTTTCTACAGACAGAACTTTAAAGTGTATTTAGAACTCAAACTTTTGCCAATATCAATAAGCATGAGAAGCCTATATGTTTCTGGATTGCGCATAAAACTTTCAAAATGTGAATATGCATTCTACAGGATCACTTCAATATTAGATTATTTGATTAATTTCTCTATTAATATTATTAACTTTTTTTCCCAGAAAACAGTTAAAACTTTTTTCAGCTTAAATATTTATGTTAATCTTTATATTGGATTGTATTTTATTCAAAACATAAACACAATTATGCTCTGGTCTGCTAACCATTTAGGCAATTATGAAGATACAAGTAGTTAAGCCCCCTAATTCCATAT